TGGATTTTGGGGATTTATTAAGGTTTTCAAATTTTGGGGAATTTGGGGATATTGTTTCAAATCTTTGTCAATTTCTTTAATACAAAAGCCTCTGTCAAATGGATGTTTCATTTTTATTATTTTTTTTGTTTCTTTCTTCTTGGAGATTTTTAGACAGGATTTGGGGATATTTTGGGAGGTTTTCAATTTTGGAGACTTTAGGGTTTTCTTTTTAATGTTTTGGTGTTTTAATTTGTTTTGGAAAGATCATTAACCTAAAATTATGGGATCCAAATTATAACCTTCCAATTAATCAATTTTGCATCTTAAAATGAATTTGTAGATACAAGAGGGTATTTAAGTAATTTATGTGATGGGTACCCTCTTAAATAAGGTTGATACATGACAAATGTGTAAATTATATACATTTCATCCTTTTATGTAATTAGGATCTTTAAATAGACCATCAATGTACTAATCCCTTAGGAATGTGGACTTTTTGGTTTTAAATCAAATTAGGGAAAACGGAAATAAAATAAAAGAACGAGAAAAAAATAAAACAAAACCCTAGGTTTTATCATCTTCCTATTCCCTCTTCTTGTCCAGCCCCCCCTCCCCATCCTTGGTTTCTTCTTCAGCCATCACCCTTCCGGCATCTCTCCGACGACTTTAGATGGCAGCGCACAGCGGTAGCAGTAGCCTCTGTCGTCCTCCTCTACGGCAGTGCAACGAAACCGACGCGTCTTTAGTCGTTATCGACTGAATCTGTTAGAGTTTGACGACCGACGATAGCTTCTGATTGGAACGAGCGTTGCAGTAACACCTGCAGCACTCCACGGTAGTCCAAGCTCCAAATCGGCGGTAGCGACGTACTTTCCCTCAGAACCCGACACTTTAAGCGGCTGCTGACACAATTCGACATGACTCCAGCGTTTCAGCACTCCCCACGGCAGCACCATCCCGACGGTCGGCAACAGCAACGTCAGTCCATTAGCAGTGGTGCCTTTGCGGTTTAAGATTGGTGCGGCGACTCTCCGGTGACCCTCCACGATTGATCGGCGACAATCGACGACTCATGTGACGTTCCCATTGGATTCAGACAGCAAGCAACAGCAGGATCTCGGATTCATGAAGCCGGTGAGTTCATGATGTTTTTCATCTTTTCGATGATGTTTGGCGATGACCCACCTCTCGTACGAAGCCGATTTACAATACCCATCCCCTTTGGCATCTATTCGGCACCTACCCACGCTCAAACAAAGTTTGATTTGAGTTACCCATCGATTTTTGGCATCGGACCAGCAAGCGCAAAGCCCTTCAAACTTGGATTTGGAAGCCTGACCTCCTCGGTGTCGACCAACTCCTAACCTAAGAGGTTTTAGTGTGAGTTAGTAGGTAACAACTCACCTAAGCTTTGTTTCAATACAAATTGAGTGTTTTTGGATGGACTCTAACCCAAATTTGGTTGCTTTTGACTTAGGCAATCCTTCGGCGAGCTTAGTAGCGTGTTAGGACCCTTTTGTTTGTAAGTAGTTTCTTACCTAAGGGGATTTGTTTGTCGTGTGTTGCTATGAACAAATTGTTTGCTTGTGTGCCTATGATTATTCTTGCATGATTGCTTGCGGTTGGTACTACTTTATACATATTGATATTGTTATATTGTGAGTTTGACGTGTTCTGACTATTATGAAAATTTGTTGGAATGTTGGATGTGTCTCTGGATTATTGATAATTATATTAGTGTAGTGTTGTGTTCACAAAAGCATACTAAGTTTTGTGTGAATGGTTATATTTTGAAAGCATGTTGATATATTGTTTTCGTTGTTAGCATGTTGTTTATGTTGTGGAATCATGCTGGACTATTATGAACTGAACATTGATTCGTATGTTGCATGTTGACCTCATTGTGAATGAATATTGCATGGGTCATGACTTAGAAGCATGTAGGACCCTAGAGAGAGTTCTGAAACTCTTGAATTAAAATCCCTTCTTTTTTTGGACTCTTTCCTTGACAACCTGTTTTCCTTTGCCTTTGAACCTGTCTTTATTTGCAACAGAAGATTCAATTGAGTTAGCATTAACTGAATTGACAAACTGAGGAGAGAGTTTATCCTTTTGCCTATTGGCTTTTTCTGTGCGCATATGACTGATCAATTCGTGTAACGTTAGATCTTTCTTCTTGTGTTTCAGATGATTGCGATAATCACTCCAGGAAGGGAGAAATTTCTCGAGCAGTATATTTTTCTGGAGGATTTCGCACATCTTGATGTCCTCAGATAGAACATTAACCACCAAGTTCTTGTATTCGTGAACTTGATTCATGATTGGTTTGTCATCTACCATTTGAAACTGCAACCATTTGCCAACCACATGTTTTTTCCTCCCGGCATCATCTCCACCATATCTTGACTCCAAAGTGTCCCAAATAACCTTCACAGATTTTTGGACAACAAAAAGATCAAATAGTGGGTCATTCATATGATTAAGGAGATGCTCGCGAACAGTCTTGTTATCCTTTTCGAACTTATCAGCGGCAGCGGTAGCAACGTTGGTGGCTCCAGCGATGGCTCCGGTAGGAACTCCGGCGGCATCTCCAATAGCAACTCTAGCGACGACTCCAGCGATAACTCCAACGGCGACGGCGGCTACATCGACAGAGGTGGTGGTCAGGACGTAGTCTACCTCCAATTGCTCGAAAAAGATGAGTAGCTTCTGAGCCCAGCGTCGGTAATTGGATCCATCCAATAATTCGAGTTTGGATAGATCTGGAAGCACTTTACCGGATCTTACTGAAGCCATAAATTTTGCTATCAAATTGTAAGAGCAAATGAGGAAAAGACGTTGTGCCGTGGAACCCACTGTCTTGAAAGCAAAATTTGGCACGACCACGGTGCTAAATAGTTAATTGCCAGTTACTTCCCAAGGTTAACACAATACCTGAATTCAGGCGTACACTTAGGATTAGAATCAACTCAGAACAAACTTGAAAATAGAAAATGGAAAAGAAATCGAGAGAGAATTAGAAGGAGAGAAGAATGTTGTAGAAGATGTCTATTTTGCAAATGGAATGTGTGGTTTATATAGGAGGTAGAGAGAAACGATTTTCCAAAAATTAAATATAAAAGCCAGTTTGAAATAAATGTAAAACGTTCATACCGTTTTACATTTATGAAACATTTTATTATGAAAAACGTTTATCAAACATTTATGAAAAAACGTTCAAAAAACATTTAATAAAAATTATGGCTTTAAAATATTTCAAGTCATAATGTCTTAGCCCCAACATTCAATATAACAGATTTGGGCCTACCCTATCGTAATCCCAGTAGCCGAGTGAATGGGTTTAAATAAGAGAATTTACCGTAGGTGTCCCTATTTGGAAAAATTGTCAAATCATCTTTGATAATAAAAAATGTCCATTTATATTCTTCCGAGTGTTTTTCAAGTTTCATATTTGATACTTTTACCATTCTATCTAGTTATTAGTTTTTAAATCAAAATATCCCAACTTCCATGATCTCTCCTATATTTTATCACTATTATTATAAATTTAGATATATATAGAGATAGAATTCGCCAATTATAAGGAGACATCACATTGAGGGAGACGATTAGAGATGGAATCTATCAGAGTCGAGTTGACTAGAGAGGAGCGAGGGAACAATGGTGGGCAACGCAGTGGGTTACAAGTGGGGCGGGGTAAAGGAGAGGGATGCTTGTATGTCGAGTTTCCGTAGTTCGTGTACCTTTTTGATTTGAGGTAGGGTGCTTTATATTTTTGTATTAATTGTTCACAAAATATATACCTTATTTCTTCACACTATTTGTACTTCTTTAGTTGATATTGTTCACTGTATTTGTTACTCTCTCCTTATTTTTGTATTTTTGCACTAATTGTTCAAAAAAATATACCTTATTTCTTCGTTCACTGTATTTGTTACTATCTCCTTATTTTTATATTTTTCTATTAATTGTTCAAAAAATACACCTCTTTTCATCGTATTTGTTCCTCTATTCACCATATTTGTTTTTCTGTTCGCCGTATTTGTTGTATTTTTGTGTTCACCGTATTTTTTATACTTTTGTTTCTCTGTTCACCATACTTGTTGTCCGTATTTGTTGTTTATTGTATTTTTGTTTCTTTGTTCACCGTATTTTTTATTTGTTGTGTTTGTTGATCAATTTGTTCTAGTTTGAGTGTTATTTATATTTCTAATTATTTGTTTTCTTTAGATTTGTTAGTAAATTGGTTAGAAAACTATTTGAATTGAAAAATATAGGTAGGATTCTTAAAATATTTGAATTATCCAATAAAGATGGTTAGGTGGGATTCTCCTGTGAAAAAGAAAAAATAACAAATTCATTTTAAAATTATTTTAGAAGAGAGTAATTTCATCCCTAAAACATTAGTACAAATCTTCCTATTTTTATTTGGCGATATTGAAAAGTGAAAGTTGTTTGACCATATATTTTGAAATTGCCTAATGACTCTATCTACTGTTATCCCTTTAAATAATATTCAACATTTGTAGGCCCCCTCTCTTTTCATCTCTTAAATTGGACCACACAAAAAACTAAAAAGATTAAATTTTTGTTTTGAAAAACATATTTCTCTTTTGACATTCCTAACAAATTCTACACTCTCAAGTAGACTCTCACTAGATTACTGTCTTTATTCTACTTGCTCCATACTCGTTTGCTCCCACCTTGTATTCTGACTTAAGCATGCAAATGCATTCGACAGAGCACCACACAGGTGTTAGATTTTTATGTACAGGTGGACTCTGAACTAGGAAACGAAAAAGATGTACGTACAATTTGATTGCAAGATTCTTGTACGTTGTTTGAAAAGGTCGTAAGGTGTCTATACCTCTAATAGCATAAAAAAGATTGAGAGGAAAAAAAAACTCAGTACAAAAATAGAGAATTTGGGAGTAGTGTTTTTAACTATACTCATATTGATAATTAATACAATCGAAATCTCATATCTTTTAGACTTCCAATAACAAAACACGCTTAATTATTGCTCAACGACTCAATTAAAACATAAGTAATAGTACCATTATGAGATTTTAATCGAGTGTGATGCTTGGGTTGGGGGAAGCAAACTCAAGAAACTCATAGTCATTTTCTAACAAGTTCATTGTTTTGTCATCCAAAGTAATCCATGCTTCTATTCCTTCACCCGATGCTCTGTCCATCAACAGAATCATATTCACCGGCGACTCATTAGCTTTTGTTCCAATTGCAATCCATATAGGCTTATCCCATCCAAAATTCACTCTATTTAAACCCATGTTACACCAGCTCGAGAATGCATATGACTCGGAAGCCTTTGCATAAGACTCATGTAATTGGTGTAATGAACTCAAAATAGTTTCAAATCCATCGTCTCCCGTTGCTTTAGGTATAAAATCATTGGTTATTTCGAGGAACGATTGTCTCAATATAGTTTCGAGATCACCCAAATTTATGTTTGTGTTTGATGCTTCATAATAAGCACGACTTGTCCAAAAAATGTTGCCAACATCATATTCTGACAATGGTGGTTGTATTCTTCTACGCATGTTAAGGGTATGAACTAAAAGCGACCCCGATTTTGTATCAACACAACTTCCCTTCTCACCATTTCCAATAACTTCTTTCTTATCTGTTAAGAGAGAAGAAATTAGCTTATAATGATTCGTATATGTTTGTAAATATTTTTAAAATTCTTTTATTTTTTATAGAAATATACGAGTTGTGTTTGATGACATTTAATGTTTTTCTTTTTTCGTCTTCATAATATAAACACACAATCAATTATATTCTTACCTAATGATTTAAATGTTGATGCAGCTTTCATTGCATGCTTCCAAATAAAGCAAGTTACAGCTTCAACGCTCGTTGGATTGGAAACAATTTGAGATTTGGCTCTAACTTTGAGATTTGAGACTGCCATAGCATCAAAAACAAACCTTTTTATAGAGCAATGTTTTGGTTGTGCCTCTAAAAATGGACTTTTTGGGAACACCAAATCATTGTTATTCGCTGATATTTCTTTTGCTGGGAAAAGTGAAGAAGAGGCCTCATAACTCCCACATGCTAATTTCTCTAATGCAGCCCAAGATTTTATGAAGGCACTCATGGTGGTTCCATCTATAATTTTGTGTAAGAAAGAAAAGCCCATTGCAATTCCAGTACCGCACGAGAAAAAGTTAACTTGAACCGCAACCTAACAGAACATGAAGGAAAGATTAAATTTTTTATAACCTTTCTACTTAAACTTTTGGCTTCGAGGAAAGTCTAACATGGTATCACATTTTTTTGATTTAGTAACATCAAGATATATGTAATTTCATCTCAAAATCCAATTAGCAACGTATTATAAACCTCACATGGGCTTGTTAGATGTAATACAATATCAATATTCATGAGTTCATATTTAATAGTATATTTGGATAAACGACTTAAGATGTCGGATATTTCCAATATGGTCATTTAGCGATATTCAAATATATATTAGAAAGAAAAAAGTGAGAAGGTAAACAGGGACATCTCCACAAATTTCCCAGCAGTTATCTTCGATAGTATACCTAAAAAGGACCTGGTGAAGACCCAACAAGTGAGGAGCGTTTTCGAAAATTTACCGCAACCTATCAACACAAACCTGGACAGCCGTCTCCAACGGCTCCGTGGAATACAAATCAGGGAAAGGAAGGAGCTTCGCAAGAAACTCAGGGCTTGGATTTCTGAGAAAATCAGCCATGGAAGCTTTGACTGAGGCCTCAACAAAGAGAGCGCCATTATTGGAGGAACAATAATGCACAAAATTGCCTTTGATTCTTCCAGCAAGCATGGGGAAGCGAGCCAATGTTTCAGACAGAGACAGCTTTAAACTAGAAATTGTATTTTCATTATTATTACTTTGATTCTTGTTGGTGCTGTAGAAGAGGATGATGGGAGTGTAAACTTCGATTCCATGAATATAAATGTCGAGAAGTGAAAGATGGAAAGATTTTTGGTGTTGGTCCCTCTGGAAGGCTCCTGACCTTATGATTTCTCTTGAAATGATTTCCACTTCCATCTCCAAATGAATGCAAACTTTGTGCTTCAATAATTTAATGGAAAATCTCTTACTACATTGATGGTTGAGTAGGCTGCTTTGTTATTTATAGAAAACTAAACATCGCCCAATAATCAATAAGCTTATCATCAGAATGTGTTGCCTTTTAATAACTGTACACTGTACCGTGGGATGCACGTCTGAAATTGGGTTTGAAATACATTTTATCTGCGACATGAACATAATTCAATTGGTTTAGGTTTATATTGAGATGTTAGTAAATAGATTAAATTTACCAAATCCATCCACTTAAATTTTTGGATCTATTCACCTTTCACACTTAAAAAGGCATAGTAAAACCACGTCAGTCGGTCTACAGGATGAAACGGTCTGTACAAAGAGAGGGAGAATTAAATTGAAAAGACAAATTATGTTTCACGTGATACACGTGAATTATATATATATATTTATTATTATTATATTTTATTTTTTACCACATTTTACTTCCCCACCTACCTACGTGGCTGTTTAATAGAGATTCGTTCTTATCCTATTTTTCAATATCTCTCTCTTTCTTGTCCATGATCCATTCCTTCCTCTCTTTGTCGTCTTCTCTATCCATCTTTCTTCTCTTTCTTCTCCCATGTTCTTACTCTGAACCCTTTCTTCTCCCATGTTCTTCACCCATGTTCTTCCTCTCCACCCTTTATTCTTTCTCTTTCTTCATTCAATCTCCCCTGCATTTCATTTCAGTCACAGAACCACTCATTTAGAATCGTTTTAGTTTCGAATTTAGTACCTCTTACAAATCGATCAAACCAACCGATTGAAAAGTCGGTTTGTATAGAGACGGAAAAAAAGAAAATTTCCGACCGACTGAAACCGACTAGGTCAATTTGATGATTGTGTCTGGCACTGATTTTTTACCTGGCTAAAATCACTTTCACTTATGTCAAAATTGCAACCATTTTAAAATAATATGTTTGACAATAAGCTTAGTAATAATTGACACCTAGATTTGACGAAAAAGTTATTGAATCTCCGCAACATTTCTTGTACTAAAAGAGGCAAAATAAAAAAGGAAACAAACAAAACAAAAACTTGTTATGCAATAATTTTCAAGTGATTTTAGAAAAATCCAAAATTACTCTAAGTAATTCCTGGTCAATCACTTGGCGATGATTCCCAAATTATTTTTGTCAACAAATTAACAAGAAATTAGTTTTTAAAATGATTATTTATTTTTGGGCAAATTGTAAAAACCACCCCTGAAGTATAGTGGTCGTTACAATTATACCCTTAAACTTTCAATTGTTAAAATTAAACCCTCGAACTTTTATAAATGAAAAAATTAAACCCTCAAACTTTCAATAATAAAAATTAAACCCCTAAACTTTCACATATGATAAAATTGCACTCTCTAATTCAAAATTGTAAAATCTAAACCCTAAAATTTTGAAAATTTGTATGTATTTGACAATTGTAAAATTCAAAAAAAATTTATGTTCGTGAATATTCAATTTTGCAGACAAACAGTAGTTCACAAATGGGATATATGCTCCATCATTCATTAACTTGTGAAGGATTTAACAGAACAGTGGACATTATTTTCCATTTCAATTTTCAACATCAGATTTTTAAAAGTATCAGATTTATTAATTACCTATGCGTACAAATCTATGCCCCAAAACTTGGCGGGGCGTTTGGTATTTCCTGTCAATTCTGCCGATAGAATTATTATTCATGTCTTCTTTTGTAAGCTTAAACTTAAAAACTTTGAGCAATCTCTCGGATTTCGACGTCCCTGAGAGCAATTTGAGCAATACTCTTTCCATATTTATCGGCAAGTCTCGAGGAAAAAGGCTTTATAAAAATTGTCTGCAAAATCGGATATTGAAGAGCAAAAAAAACTTCATTGAATTCAAAATTAATGAAGATGAGAATATTTTCGGTACATAATATGGAGGAATTGTAAAAAAATACCATTTTAAAAAAATTTAGGATTTAATTTGAATTTGGAGGGTACAATTTTATCATATGTGAAAGTTGAGGGATTTAATTCTTACTATTGAAAGTTTGAGGGTTTAATTTTTTCATTTATAAAAGTTCGAGGGTTTAATTTTTACAATTGAAAGTTTAAGGGTGTAATTGTAACGACCACCATACTTCAGGAGTGGTTTTTGCAATTTGACCCTTTATTTTTTAAATTTTCAAATCGTCTATCTATTTAACCTTATTTCCACCTTCAAATGTGATACTTTTATTTTTTCATTTTTAAAATTTTTTTCACCTATCTAAATTTATTTATCTTTAATTTTGTTTATTCTCACTAATTTTTTCTCTAAAATTTTGGTTGTCTCTCTAAATTTTTAGTTTCAATCTAAGTTTATTTATCTGTCTAAAATTTTTGTATAGATCTGTGGGGATTTTGGATTCATGAAAGTAGGCAGGCTTACAATACGTCTTTTCCATTCCCACAAGGTATTAGGTAAAAATGAGCATATTTCTTTTTGATTAGTTCTTTTAACCGTGTGATTTTCTTCTAGACATTAGGATTGACATTAGGATTATTTAGGGTACGTTTGATATTTCCGTCTCCTATTTCTTGTTTTTGTTTCTAATTTTTGAGAAATAGATTTATTTGGTAACAGTGGCGGATCCAAGATTCTATGTCGGGGCACAAATGCATATAAAGATTGGAAAAATCAAATTTATACTTTTTTTTTAAAGAAAAATCAAATTTATACGAGAACTTGACAATATGTATCAATTTTCATCTTACAACAGGATAATATTGTAATTTTCACCCAAAGCTTTAAAATATGTTACAAAATTTACTATTTGGCTGAGTTATTTGACATTAGATTTTGTACATTAATCAAACTTAATTTGAGAAACTTGATTTTTGTTAAATTAGTAAGTTTTTGTAGATTTTTAAACTTAATAGATGAACAAACATAAATTTTATAGAGTGATAAAAATTATAACGTTTATCTAATTTTAGGGTTATGAACTTAAATTTATAAAAGAAATACATTCAACATATAAATTTAACTATTTGGTCAAAAAAAAATTAAAATTACTTTATTGAATAAAAAGGATTGGGCATATTTTTGTAGAAAACCACTTATTTAAAAAAGTTAGACATTATTTTGTAAAAAAAAAAAACCTTTTTTTTTAATTCTTTTTTCTCTCTCTAGACCTTCTGGGGAATGTGTGATGTCAAATATTGCTGGAACTGAAATCAGACGGCAGAGGGAGTGGGCATGATTGATTTAGTGGGCCCCACGTTATGTGGGTCCCACTTCTGAAGAATTCTTCCGGCCTTCACACCTCAAAATATTAAGAGGCCTTTGAAAAATAATAGAAATTTGTAAATAAAGAAATCAGTAAAAAAATAGAGTTATTTTTTTTAGAACTATATTTATAGTATTTGAAAATTAAATCTCCCAGTTCAAAAAATTTTGAATGTCCAGTAATAATAATATTAATTAATTTTTTAATATTTTGGTTAAATTTTGTATATTTATTATTTAAAAATATTATAATTTATAATTTATTATATTTTACCTGTTTTAATTTTAGTTTCAGTTTATTTTGTTAATTTGAACGTTTTCTTCTATTAATGTGATATTATATTTCTGTTTCTCTGTAATTGCAATTTTCTGGTTCTTCTTTAGTTTCCATTGAATTACAAAATATGTATATATATTTTGTTAGAAGAGAGGGAATTTAGATTGAAAATTTGTTGCTGTGTTGTAGAAGAACCCCCTTAAAAATAATTTCAGACATGACCACAGTGCTAAATCATTTGTTTCGGTTGCTTATCAAAGTGAATGCAACTTCCAACTCTGGCATGTACTCATCGGAGCAAAATAGAATCAAAGAACATGCTCAAAATTTCTTATTGAGAATAGTGGAAAACCAATAAGAAAATAATTTCTATATCAATATTTTAGAAATAACCTACAATATATAATAGACAAAAAAAGAAAACGTTTTAAGAAATTAATTTATGAAATTAATGTATAACAGTTAAAATTAATCAAAATGTTATCAATAATAAAACGTAAGTAATTTCATAAATGAATTTAAAAAATATAATTAATAATTTAATGGTCGTAAACGTCATTTTTCTTTTGCCATTCCTATGTGTGTATATATTACACAAAATGACAAATAATTGGATTTTTTTTTCCTTAACCAAGCTAAATTGAATACTTATAGAAATTAGCTAGGAGCTAATTTTGATCTTGCTATTATATTATAATGTCTACCTTATCATACCAAGGATCTTGTTCACATTAGGTTTTCGAAGAAATTTGATTCGTGGAGTTGAATTTGATTTTGTATATTTTGTGTAGTAGGATACAATCTTCATGTATGTTGTTCATTGAATCTTCTTTAAACTTGAATCAAAGTCTTGGACATTTCGAAAGTCTTTTAAAGATCTTCCGAAGTCTTTTAAGTTTGTGGCATTAAGAGAGTTTATGGTGTTCAGGGGGTTTTCTATTTGTTCGGAGTATTTTTTTAATTTTTTTTACTTCTGAACCTACGATGACTTCTCTATTTAAAGAGCTTTAATAATTTAGGTTAGCATGATTTTGGATCCAACTCTCGAACTTGAACTTTCTATTTGGGTTATAAACCCAATTGTCTTCTATGAGTTTTAGTGGGTTTAGATTTAAATGACTTTACTCAACCATTCAACTTTGACTCCATCTTAGTCATAGGCACAATTTTCTTCCCCATATATAGATTTTATTCAAATTTGATTGTAGAGAATTCATAGTCGGTGTATCTTCAGTATCGAAAAATGACCGAATCACCTTTGGTAACGAAAAATGTCCATCTGTACATAACTTTTATTATCTCTCCTAGATTTTATCTCTGCTTGATCCTAGTTCTTTTTTTTGCGTTGGGTGATGCGGCCACAAGTGATAGAGTTGGTTGTAAGTGAGGCGACAAGTGGTGGAGGGTAAAGGAGGTAGAAACCTATATGTTTTGTTTCTACCATTATTAACCTTTTGGTATACTTTATATTTTTGTATTAATTGTTCA